TTTTTGGTGACATTTTTCTTTGAAAATGTGGTTATCTTCCCTGCAGTTGAAACATCTTCAGAAATACTTTAAAAATGTGACACTATTCAAACTGAACATTAAGCTCTGGATTTCAGTAATAAGTTCAACTCTAGTGAGTGCTCTCACTGCTGCTGGTACAAAATGGGAGAATGTGGGAGGGCACGCCGAGGGAGAACACAGAGTTCTTCAGGTGAATATTTTTGTGTGTTTTTATCCTCACAGGTGGCATTGATGCTGTTTACTTTTTGCCTGTTGCATGGCGGGCTGAAGGCATGTTAAGATTTGGGACCTCTAAGTACTAGATGTACAACATTTAGGGGATTTTATGCATGTGTGATGCTGTGTCCCACCTAGTCCTATCATGGAAGCATATGCAACATTTCTGAATCTTCAGCTTTAGATCTAAATATTTGAATTTATGCAGTTTTGTTCTTAGCACTGGGGCTGTGTTCTGTTTTGTGACGAAGGGGCAGTCACGGTAATTGACTTAGAACACTCTATGTGAAGGTCTCCCTAATGAAGAAATATGAGCACGTTAATATCTGATTTCTACTAGAAAAATTATTTTTTCTCTCTTATTTATGGATTTCCAGAAATCTATACTAAAGATATTTTAGCTTCGGACCTGAGGCCCTTTCCTCTACAGGCTGCACTAAGTAAACATTCTTGGTTTTCACTTTGCAAAATGCATAGAAGAAAACCTAAACTACAATGAGTTGAAGTAGTATGATCACCTTCTAAATATCAAAGTGTAGCCTTTGGCTAAAATCGTTTCTGGAGTTTAATTTTCATAAGCATGAACTCTAGGTAATGTACTTTTCAGTAGAAATGGTTTTAGTATCTTTTTTTTTTCCTTCCTCAGCTTTGCTGTTTGTTTTGCACAGGGGAACAGCCACCACTTTTTTGATCACGCATTTTATAGCAGAACCTGAATCCATGGTTCTAGGTTCCTTTACTAAAGGTTAATACCTCCTAAAAAGTGAATTGTTTTCTTCCTTTTTTTTTAAATATTTGAGAGAGCAGGAGAGAGTGAGAGCAAGAGTGAGGCGGGGGAGGGGCAGAGAGAGACAGGGAGGGAGAATCTCAAGCAGGTTCCATGCCGTCAGTGCAGAGCCTGGCGTGGGACTCGATCTCACGACCTGTGAGATCATGACCAAAGCCGAAATCGAGTTGGATGCTTAACCGACTGAGCCACCCAGGCGCCCCATGGAATTTTTGTTTTCTGATGTAAAAAGTTACCCTTACTCATTGATCCTGATCACAGTGGCATTCTTTTAGCCAGGTTTGCAGAGTAAATTCCGGGTTTTGAACGGTTTCTGTTGAGGGTGGTCCAGCAGGGGTAGTCCGGCTTTGAGCTGTCCCTGAGAAGAACCGCTGGCGGGGTGGGTTCAGGAAGGTGATCAGGCGTGGGGAATGCAGCTGTGAGAGCAGGGTGGTGGCCAAGATGCGGTGGGGAGGGAACCGTTGCAGTAATGTGATGTGTTGGCCTTTTCCTTGTGCCGGGTTGGGGCGTGAGGGCGTGTCCGGGGCCGGCCAGCAGTGTGTGCAGCTGCATAGTAGCAGCCAGTGTGTATGCGTCATTGCCAAGTTCTAATGTGAGGCTTCAGATGTTCAGAAAGATTGACGGACCCATCCTGTTTTTATAACCCCACTGTTTCTTGCTTCTGCGTCAGCGACTGACTGCTGTCCCGTCTCATGTGCTGGTTCTCCTCTTCTGTCCTCCACATTTTGGGGGCGTGGGTCATCAGGGCTCTGTGCTTGCTTTTCTTTTCCTCTCTACCTGTACTCTCTCCCTGGATGATCTCAGTTTTGTGGTTGAAACAGCATGCTCTGTATATTCAGGCAACTCTCACATTTGTGTCTCCATGCTGGACCTCTCCCACACGTCAGCTTGCCCCGTCAGAATCATTACTTGGGCAACAGTGGGCATTTTCACCTTAACTTTCCAAAACCCCTCATCTAATTCCCTAGGTCCTGTTCCTCTCTAGTTCGTTAGTTGTGACAAGTGCACGTAATAATGGGAGAGGTTACCAACAGGAGAGACCGTCTTCATAACTTTCCTGTAAATCTAAAATGATTCTAAAGGTTAAAATTTATATATAAAAAAAACTCCCTTACTGCTCTCCCCTCATCTGTGCCCCAGCCACAGTGGTCTCTGTTTTTGTAACTAATGCCTCTCTACTGGACGTGATTTTGAGCCCCAGGGAACACTGGCAAAGTCTGGAAACTGTTTGTTTGTTTGTTTGTTTGTTTGTTTGTTTTGGTGGGAGAGTGTGGAGTGAGTTGGAGGAGATACAACAGGCTTTGAATGGGTGGAGACCAGGATAACAATGAACATCCTAAAATGCACTCCGGGCCTTTTGAATTTTATTTATGTATTATGGATGTACGTATCTATTTTAGAGAAAGTAGGGGGGAGAGGCAGAGAGAGAACAAGAACGAGGATCCAAAGCAGGCTCTATGCTCACAGCAGAGACCCCAATATGGGGCTGGAACCCACGAACCTTCAGATCATGACCTGAACGGAAATCAAGAGTCGGACGCTTAACCCACTGAGCCGCCCGGGTGGCCCTTGGGCCTTTTGAATTTAGTTCTGTCCTTCCCTTCGGGTTCCGGACCACAGTCTCCTGCCCTTCTTTATTTTTCTTTTTAGTGCCTCGTCATCAGCATGGGATACACTCTTTGCTTGTTTCTCACCAGGAAATATGTCTTCCATGAGGATTTGTTGCTGCTCTGGCTCACTTTTGTATCCCCAGCATCTAGAACGATTCCTAGCACATAGCATTAAATATTCGTTGAATGAAGTCAAATAATTGATGAAGGGAGTGAGTGAGTGGAACAGATGGCCTGCACCTGTGCTAAAATATTCAGCTAGAGTCGTGGAAATAAAGCATGAACATTCACCTAGCTGCCTGTTCTCCACAAATTACCACTGTTGACAGTTGATTTTTTTTTTTTTTTGATCCAGAATGTTTCTGTCCATTTTTCAGCATATTCATATACTGTGCACACAATTCATCCCCCACCCCGCCCCCGCCTTTTTTTACACACATACATGGGATCAGTTTAATTTTTTCCATTTAACATATCTGGATGTCTCTATGTACCAACATTCAGAGTGGTGGCTTATTCTTTTTAGTGGCTGCGTAATACTTTATATGGAGAATTAAGCAATAATATTTTAATTGTTTACAATAGAGTCCCGGCATAATACTTTGTTGTAAAGTGGATAGCAGTAACAAGTCTTCTGAGATGAAACACTGTGCTTGCTTCTTTCACATGAGCTTTTTAAGTGTTACTGAAAGCATCTTCTCTCTCTCTCTATTGTTCTTAGTTCGTAAATGCCTCAGGATCTGGAAATAGTCTTTGGTTCACATACCCTCCACAGTCTGTCCTGAACTAGGCTCCCCATACCTGTAGGTTGAACTGAAGTTTTCCCCGGTTTAGGGGACGTCCCTGCATCGTTCTATCTTTCAGATTTCCCTGAATATTAGGACTGTTGACCACATGAAGAGATTGTTTTGCCAGGAAACTGTTTTCTTACTTTGAAGTGATCATCGTTCTCCGGGAGGCTGGAAGTCTGTATGGTCTCCTGACTTTATCGCCGAGGAGATGGCATGATAGCGAAGGCACATGTCAGGGGGCCCGCCTGGAATGTGATCGAGCATCCGTTAAGCCTTGTGTGAAGGAGGGCTTTTCTTTTTTCCCTGATGAAATGACTGACGGGGTGCGGTGAAGATACTGTGAGTTAACGCTGCCTCGCGAATTCCCGCCGGCCCTTCACCCAGCCCTCCGGTCTGCTGCTGCTTTCACCTTTGGGTGGGGCTCCCGTTCTGGGAGCACTTGTTTGAGGGTGCAGTGCCGTCCCCTCGGGAGAGTGCTGGGGTGTTTTGTGAGGCTCCATTGATTTGCAAGGTGAATTTGTTGGCATTTAGAGGAACGGTGGGTCTGAAAATAATTGTCTTGCTCATCCGGAAGGCCAGCCCGGAGGACTGCCTACCTTCCGCTTGCTAAAGGGAACCCTTTCTCAAATGCCCCCTTGCCTTCCCGTTTCCCCTCTGACCTTCTCCGCGGGGCCGACCACCTTGCTGCGTTCATGGGGCCCTCTCTGTGTGTCAGCCTGGATGCTTTAGCTGTGTGTGTGTGTGTGTGTGTGTGTGTCTTGTGTTTGGTTGTGAACACTGGTTGTTGACTGCAGTGGTGATAAAACATTGATGTGGTGGGTAAGATTCGCTTTGCTGTTTGACATCAGGCTGCTGGTTTCCCATTTGTAAATGGACTCTTTTTGACTCACGTTGGTTTAGAAGTGACCTCAGTATCAAAATGATATAATGATTTTATAAGTATTTTAATACCTTTAAATAGTTACATAACGCTAAATGAGACCGTAAACCCTTACGTTTTGGAGGGAGTCAACTAAATTATCCTTAGAAAGAAATAATTTCTGGATCACTTTTGAGATGAGGTTATAGAATGTCCTTATGGGAGGTCCTATGAAACCACCTTTCAGGTTGGGTCTTGTTCTGAATCAGTTCTTCAAAGCTTCCTGTGCTTGGGATACTGTGGCAGCATGAAATTTGCGAGCTTTTGGGCATTTCATCTGTTGTGTATAAGTAAACCTAGACAATGTTCGTTATCTCCCTTTGTCACAGTTGGTTCCATTTGCCTTGAAGAATCAAGTAGAACAATTCAGCTTTGGTGTTACATGTAGCTGGCGGGAGTCTTTGATCTGAAGCTCCTTATGATTCTTGAGTCCTCAAAGTACAAGAAAAAGATTGTTCCTTAGTAATTCTAGACATGTTTAGAGGTATTGATACTTGGACAACGGAAAAAAACCTAAAAACGATTGCACATATTTGTATTTCATACATATGTACAATACTTCACTAAAATGCAAAGTCTAAAACTCCCGAAACAAGTTTATGCTGCCTTGTTTATTTCTTCGAGGTCACGATTCTTCTTTCTTTCCTGTGTTTTAGATTCCTGAGGGTTAAGCGATGGGGAGACCTGTGGCCTTGCTCCTGCTCCTGCTCCTCCAGCGTTTTGGAGACGGCGACGGAAGCCAAACCCCTGAGCAGAGTCCTCTCCAGTTTACACACTTCCAGTACAATGTCACGGTGCACGAAAACTCTGCAGCTAAAACCTACGTGGGCCATCCTGTAAAGATGGGTATTTACCTTACAAATCCACTGTGGGAGTTAAGGTACAGAATTATCTCCGGGGACAACGAAAACCTTTTCAAAGCTGAAGAGTATGTCCTTGGAGACTTTTGCTTCTTAAGAATAAGGACCAAAGGAGGAAATACAGCTATTCTTAATAGGGAAGTAAAAGACCATTACACATTGATAGTCAAAGCAGTTGAAAAAAATACTAATGCTGAAGCCCGAGCCAAGGTCAGGGTGCAAGTGCTGGATACAAACGACTTGAGACCGCTGTTCTCCCCCACCTCGTACAGTGTTTCGTTACCTGAAAACACAGCCATAAGGACCAGTATTGCCAGAGTCAGCGCCACAGATGCAGACATAGGAACCAACGGAGAGTTTTACTACAGTTTCAAAGATCGAACAGATGTGTTCGCTATTCACCCGACCAGCGGTGCCATAGTTTTAACTGGTAGGCTCGATTACGCAGAGACCAAGCTCTATGAGATGGAGATTCTTGCTGTGGACCGTGGGATGAAACTGTATGGTAGCAGTGGTATCAGCAGCATGGCTAAGCTGACGGTTCACGTGGAACAGGCCAACGGATGTGCTCCTGTGATCACGGCGGTGACGCTGTCTCCATCAGAACTGGACAAGGACCCAACATATGCAATCGTAACCGTGGACGACTGTGATCAGGGGCCCAATGGGGAAATAGCTTCTTTAAGCATTGTGGCAGGTGACCTCCTTCAACAGTTTAGAACAGTGAGGTCCTCTCCAGGGAGTAAAGAATATAAAGTCAAGGCAGTTGGTGGCATTGATTGGGACAGTCATCCTTTTGGCTACAATCTGACGCTACAGGCTAAAGATAAAGGAACCCCTCCCCAGTTCTCTTCTGTGAAAGTAATTCATGTGACTTCTCCGCAGTTCAAAGCTGGGCCAGTCAAGTTTGAAAAGGATGTTTATAGAGCAGAAATCGGTGAGTTTGCTCCTTCCAATACCCCCGTGGTCATGGTGAAAGCCACGCCTAGTTATTCTCATTTGAGGTATGTTTTCAAAAGTACCCCCGGGAAAGCTAAATTCAGTTTAAATCCCAACACTGGTCTCATTTCCATTTTGGAGCCAGTTAAAAGACAGCAGGCATCCCATTTTGAACTTGAAGTAACAACAAGTGACAGAAGAGCCTCGACCAGAGTGTTGGTTAAAGTCTTAGGTGCGAACAGCAATCCCCCTGAGTTTACCCAGACTGCTTACAAAGCATCTTTTGATGAGAACGTGCCCATTGGTACGACGGTCCTGAGCGTGAGTGCCGTGGACCCCGATGAGGGGGAGAATGGCTATGTGACTTACAGTATTGCCAATTTAAACCACGTGCCCTTCGTCATTAACCATTTCACTGGTGCCGTGAGTACTTCAGAAAACCTGGACTATGAGCTGATGCCTCGGGTTTATACTCTGAGGATTCGAGCGTCAGACTGGGGCTTGCCATACCGCCGGGAAGTTGAAGTCCTCGCCACGGTGACCCTCAATAACTTGAATGACAACACACCCTTGTTTGAGAAAATCAATTGTGAAGGAACTATCCCCAGGGATCTAGGTGTGGGGGAGCAAATAACTACTGTTTCTGCGATTGATGCTGACGAACTTCAGTTGGTCCGATACCAGATTGAAGCTGGAAACGAACTAGATTTGTTCAGCCTAAACCCCAGCTCTGGGGTGTTGTCCCTAAAGCAGTCCCTACTGGATGGCTTAGGGACCAAGGTGTCATTTCACAGCCTGAGAATCACGGCCACAGATGGAGAGAATTTTGCCACACCGTTATACATCAACATAACTGTGGCTGCTAGTCGCAAGCCAGTACACTTGCAGTGCGAAGAGACGGGCGTTGCCAAAATGCTGGCGGAGAAACTCCTGCAGGCAAATAAGTTACACAGTCAGGGAGAGGTGGAGGACATTTTCTTGGATTCCCACTCTGTCAATGCGCACGCGCCACAGTTCAGAAGTACTCTCCCCGCTGGTGTTGAGGTAAAGGAAAACCGTCCAGTGGGTGCCAGCATAATTTTCATGAATGCTACTGACCTGGACACTGGCTTCAATGGAAAACTGGTCTATGCCATTTCTGGAGGAAATGAGGATAGTTGCTTTGTAATTGACATGGAAACTGGAATGCTGAAGATTTTATCTCCGCTTGACCGTGAAACAACAGACAAGTACACCCTGAACATTACAGCATCTGACCTTGGTATACCACAGAAGGCCGCTTGGCGTCTTGTAGACATCAGAGTTCTGGATGCCAATGATAATCCCCCGGAGTTTTTACAGGAGAGCTACTTTGTTGAAGTGCGCGAAGACAAAGAGGTAGATAGTGAAATCATCCAGGTTGAAGCCACAGATAAAGATTTAGGGCCGAATGGACATGTGACCTACTCTATTCTCACAGACACAGATAAATTCTCCATTGACAGCGTGACTGGAGTTGTTAAAATTGTGTCCCCTTTGGATCGCGAAGTACAGCATGTGCATTACTTAAAGATTGAAGCCAGGGATCAAGCCAGAGAAGAACCTCAGTTGCTTTCCACAGTTCTTTTGAAAGTATCATTAGAGGATGTTAATGACAACCCACCTAGGTTCATTCCACCTAATTACCGTGTGAAAGTTCGCGAAGACCTTCCAGAAGGAACCATAATCATGTGGTTGGAGGCCTATGATCCCGATTTAGGTCAGTCTAGCCAAGTGAGATACAGTCTGCTGGACCACGGAGAAGGACACTTTGATGTGGATAAACTCAGCGGAGCGGTCAGAATTGTCCAGCATTTGGACTTTGAGAAGAAGCAAGTGTATAATCTCACCGTGAGGGCCAAAGACAAAGGGAAGCCGGTTTCTCTGTCTTCCACTTGCTATGTTGAAGTTGAGGTCATTGATGTGAATGAGAACTTACACCCACCAGTGTTTTCCAGCTTTGTGGAGAAGGGGGTAGTGAAAGAAGATGTCCCTATTGGTTCCTCAGTAATGACAGTGTCTGCTCACGATGAGGACACAGGAAGAGACGGGGAGATCCGCTATTCCATAAGAGATGGTTCTGGTGTTGGTGTTTTCAAAATAGACGAAGAGACAGGTAAATACATTATTACTCTTCTGGTTTGATCTCCCCTCCCATTTGTCCCAAAGTAATGATCTGCCCTGAGCTGGCTCCTGTACAGTTCCCTGTTGGCCTCTGTCAGGGCTCCACACAGAAGTGCACGTGCATGCTTTTTGCCCTCTTAGGAGCATCCCTGTGTGTAGTAAGTCGTGAGTATGGAACCGAAGGAACTTGAATGACGTGGTGTACAATGAGTAAGGAAACGGGAGAAAGTTGGAATCATTACCATTGATCCTGATCTTTAAGTTTGTGCTCTGCATTATTAGAAGCATCACTGTGGTTTTGCTGTAACTTTGAGAAACTGTTCCAGAGCTGTTCAAGCTAGTCTTTTTGCACACTTAGAACCGCCACCGCCCACTATCTAGCATGCTTTTCAGAGATGATTGCACACCTGCAGAATTGTGCAGTGCACAGAGAGAACACACTGCTAAAGCTTCCGCGATGTGGTCTGCTTTCCTTAGTACCTCTTCCAAGTTTTGTTTGAGAGGCAGACAGACGTAGGGAAGTACAATGTTGAATTGTAGGGACTTGGCTCTTTGAGTTGTTAATTGGGTGATCTTGGACAAGTTAATTATCTTATCGAAACTGACTTCATCTATATGATGGGGACGCTCAAAAAGGCTGCAAGATTTATGTGAGGATAAGGTGAAATAACATGGGAAGGCTGCCGAGCGCGTGTTAGTCTGTTAATGTCTTCCAAATGGTAAGGGAGGCTTTGTTAGCATACCCTTTCACCTGGAATAAGAGCCTAAAACCAGAACATCCGGGACGGCCGACTGATGCTACGGTCTGTTGCTTTGCACTTTGTGCATATCTCTAATTTAGCTGCTCTTCTCAGATATTACAGTTTGATGTCAGTCTCCCCTGATGGAGTGTGAGCCTTTGTATTAGTTTGCCAAGGGCCAGCGTAGCAAAGGACACAGACTGGGTGGTTTCAGCCACAGACATTGATGTTTTCACAATTCTGGAGTCTACAAGTCGAGGTTGGAGGTGTTGGCAATGGTAGGTTTTTTCTGAGTCCTTTCTCCTTGGCTTGTAGATGGCTGTTTTCTCCCTGTGTCTTCACCATCTTCTCTGTGTATGTTTGTGTCCTATTCTCTTTTTATAAGGACATTAGTCACATTGGATTAGGGATCACCCTAATGGCCTCTATTTATTTCCAAGTCGGTCACATTCTGAAGTACTGGGTGTTAGGGCTTCAGTGCATGAATTTTCGGGGACATAATTCAGCCAAAAACCACCTTTCAGGACAGGCTTTTATTTAGCTCATGCATTTTCTGTCCTCAGCCCTAGCAAGAAGTACTAGGCGTATAGAAGCTGCTCATTAAATGTGAAGACAACGAACGAGCAAACGAATGATTATTTTGATGAGTGTCACATTAAAATGAATGAATGTCCTGCCTCCTGAGAACGGTAGTGGAAATAGAAGGAAACTGGGTAATCACAGGGTTAGATGAACTGCCATAGATGGGAGTTCAGTTCGTTTGTTGATCTCATTGATGTGTCCTTTATGAATATATCCATTCTAAAAAAAGATGTTTTTCTTATTACACTGAAATTTTAAGTTTATCTTTAAAATGCTACAAGTAAATTATTTAATACCCACCCCGCTAAGCATGCCTACATCTAATATAAGAAACATAATTATTATCCTAGAAAAAGTTATTTTAGAAGCCATCATATTTTTAATGTACTTTTGTTTATTCAAGGGATTCTTTTTGTTTTCTTTTTTTTTTTTTTCAACGTTTATTTATTTTTGGGACAGTGAGAGACAGAGCATGAACGGGGGAGGGGCAGAGAGAGAGGGAGACACAGAATCGGAAACAGGCTCCAGGCTCCGAGCCATCAGCCCGGAGCCTGACGCGGGGCTCGAACTCACGGACCGCGAGATCGTGACCTGGCTGAAGTCGGACGCCCAACCGACTGGGCCACCCAGGCGCCCCACAAGGGATTCTTTTTGTAATGAGTTGTAGACCATTAGCATGTGTTGGGTGTATCCATTCCTCTAAAATGCCAGATTTTAATTTTTTAACTTTGAAATTTTTTGTTAGTTTCTAGATTTTAGAAAAATTTTAATTTATTTTTTAATTCCGGTATAAACGATAAAATACCAGATTTCTGTTTTTATTTTTACATCATGCTGCCATTTAGAATCTTTAATCCAATTTCATCAAAGATTACCAGCCACATGCCGTGATTAGTTCTCTAGAAACAACTTTGCTTTCTGTGTGCAAATCAGTGTCAATGAAATAAAAACTGAAACCATATACTGAGCAAAGAACTCTATTAACCTTGTTTCAAACTTTATTCTCAGGCTTCTTCAGCTTAATTAGCTGCACAGAATGAATTGTGTTTAAGCAAAAATGGAAAAGAGCTGCAGTGTCCAAGGGGCTGGGGCTTAAAAATATTAGAGATCTAGGTTTTGTCAGACCCATGAACAACATTTTAAAAAGCAGTCATAATATAAAATAGACCCCCCCCCCCCAACATCGTCAAGGTCTGTCCACCTCACAGGTTGCCTCAATGCAGTAGGCTTCGGCCTGTGGTCTTGAACTAGTCCGACCGTCCGCACCGCGTTGGTTTAAGATCCTGGGTAGCGAGCGTTTCTGTCGGCTGCTTGGTCTGGGACCCGGCGAGTGTTCGCTGCCCGGATGCCTGCACTTGAGCGCTGTGGAAGCGGATCATGGCGCCTTGGTTGTGAACATACTCCCCTCTTCCCCGCCAGGGATCTTGTGTACCCCTGGCTCCTCTAAGGAGAACTGAGGTTTCTATCCGCTGCGGTAGCCCGGCTGTGAACCCACCGCCTGCCTTTTCGGGGAGCCGGTCCTTCCCCACCACTGCGCACGCGTGCTTGGGGTGTGGCGTTTTCTCCTGCTTCCGGAGAGTTTCTTTCATCTTGTCGGGGCAGAAATGGAGCACACGGCGGCGCGGCGGGGTCGGGACGAGCGTTGGCGCTCAGGGGGTCTGGGGCGGACCAGCCGAGATGAGGTGCACACTCCCCTGGGGATGCAAGATGGCCACCAGAGCCCGATTGTTAAATAACAGTTGACTGACTCCTGTTGGTTATGCTATTCTAGTCCCTCCTCTTGTATCTGTAGATATATACGTGTATATCCTGCTGTACTCCAATATTAATTCGAATGTTCAGGTATATTGTGTCAACTTGGAAGAGTACCCACATTTTAAGAACTTCACCCAATACAACGAATATGTTTGCGCATTTTCCTAAGGGCAATTATTCCTGACCCTTTCTTTTTTTCCTTTTCTAAAATAGCTTCTGAAAAGCTACAAAAAATTGTTAACAAGTTAAAGTTGAGACAGAAAATAGAACCCAAGTCTTAATTTACATTCCCTGAAGGCTTAAATTATATGAGCACTGCCTTTTGGGTTTTTCTTTCAAGTGAAAAGAGTATTTTTGTTGCTTTTTAAAGATTCATTTAGAAACTAGTAATTTTTTTTTTTTTTTTTGCTTATAAAGTTAAGACATTGGGATATTCTTACTACCAAGGGAGAAAAAAGGAAACCACCAACCAAACAAGGCAGGGTTCTGAAATCTGGAGTAGTTTTCAAAGCTGAATGGCACTGCTAGACTTTTCTGGTGGTAACCTGGTGGGGGGCCGGGGATGAATTGGGACTGTGGGCGTTGGGGTTGGGAAGTATATAAGAAACTTTGTGCATCTGTGTAACTACTGAGATTTGAAAGTGAGAGAAAAGTTGGAAATCTATCAGTCATCTGTTCTGTAGTCCTTGGCTTTACAGAAGAAAATGTTCATGTATAGTAGATTAATGTTTCTGTGTTTTTTGGAAATGAATCAAAGTGATATAATAGTATTTACACATTACCGTTGGCCTCGTGTGCATTACGAGATGTGATTTGGCAGTAGAATTATTGGCCCAACTTATTTTAGAGATTCCTGGCAAGACATTTGGTATCGTAGTGTAGAATTCCTTCAGGAAAAGTCAGTATGTTTTGTGCAGTAGAAATTCTTAAATCAGGTATGTTCTTTATTTGGGGTTTGTCTAATTCCTAGCGCGGGTCGAAAAGTGTGGAGCGGTGCCTGTTCGAAGAAGAAAAGTAGGGGCAGTTCAGGAACACAGGTGGGGACTCCATAGGACACGACCCTAATAACACTCAGTGTGAGCTGGAGAAGGCCTGGCTCAGGTCAGGTTTAATAGCACCTTTCTAGAACTTCAGACACTGTTCATCACCTGTTTCTGCTGTGCTGTTACTTTCTCCTTGTCATGCTGGACTAGCTGATAAGGGCCTGCGCAGGACCAACAATCTGCCCGCTTCATTGTTCGCCTCCTGCCTTTGACTTAACTTGAAACTATAATGTTGTTGGAATAATAAATTTTTGTGGGATTTTACCTATTTCAGCATCGCCACATACGTGTATCATTTGTAGTCTTTTCATACAACAGAGAATATAAATCCGCAATCTGAATTTCGTTCTTACTATTTTTATGATCCTTTTCTTTAAAAAGTCTGCTTAAATGTGAAACATGCCCTGAAAAGTAGTTTTTAGTTTGTTTGTTTTTTTTTTTTAACTAGAAATTCTATGAACTACCTAAAATATGTAGCCAAATGTACGGTCCTGTGAGCTCTGCATTTTATACATACCTTGCTAATTGGCTTTTCAGGGAGGTAACATGTAATTGCAGTGTGGGGGTAATTGTCACTTGACTCATCTGATAATCTCTCACCAAATCACATGCTTTTCCTGGAGAGGCCTCTGGGTGTTGGTGAACTGTTCTGACACATTCATGCCCACGTGATAGCTCGTCCGTTCCAGGTTTGGAAGGTTACGTGAAAAATTATTTGGGAAATGGGTCTGGTTAGAGAGCCAGTCTCCAGGGTTCTAATTAAGATTCATGATTTATGCTCCCCCCCCCCCCCCGCCCAATCTCCTTAAAAATCTACAGAGAAGGTGATAAAGCAGATTGAACAGAAATGTTAGTGGAGGATCTCTGAAGCA